CCCGCCGCTCTGCGCGCAGCGCTGCGGTCACCTGCGGAGCTTGGAGCCCGGGCTGCGCAGCCCGGAGCGCGCTCCCGGGCAGGTGCTCCGCCTGCAGACGCCCCAACAGGAGGAAGCCCGAGTAGAGCCTCTCTGCCCAGGGGCTGACAGGGAGACCTGAGCGAAAGGGGGAAGGGTGGCCTGCGGGGGCCGCGCCGACGGGCAGCGATCTGCCCCGGGCATGGCGGCCGCGTGGGCACCTAGGGTCCTGCACATCCTGAGACCTGACCCAGGCCTGCGCGGGGTGCGGTGGAGCGGCCCTAGTTGGGGTGTACCGCGTTGGGGAGCGAGACTGGAACCCGCACGCCCACTTCCCCGCATTCAGGGGGCGCGCTTTGGTTCTTCAGATGACAGCTCCCTCTTTTGCCACCGGAGGAAAGGTAGATAAGCGGCGGCTGATCTCCGAAACCCCTGGGCGGTAGGACTCGGGTAGGAAGGAGAGAGATGTTCTGGTTCACCTGTGCGCCTAGGTGGCCCAAGGCTCCAAAAGCGCGCAGAGCTCAGCTCCGCCTCTAGGATTAGAGGCTCGGTAAAACTGGATTAAGGCGTGCCTTTATTTTTTTATTTTAATTTTCGTTCAAATAGAGACATCATAGTTAATGAAAGAAACTCTCCGATCGCCCAGGCGGGCTCACCATTTACAAATCGAATTGGGGACATGGAGCCGTTACCCATTTATAATTCGGACAAAACAAAAAATTCCACCCTAAAACAATTTGCTTAAAATAGTCACGTTTTAGAGATAAATAGATCTATAAGTGTGCGTTTGTTCGCAGTTTTATAGCCTGAGAATCGATGTCAGCCTTTCTGTTGCGCTTAAACTCAGGGATAACTAGCGTTCTCTTGCACTGGTAATCCTCGCTGCCTCTGGCCTGGGTCTGGGCTCTCAATGCTCCCAAGCTCTGCCCTCCCTCTGCCCCCCCAAGTCTGACCCACCATGAGTTCCGAAACAGCCTCTGCCACCTGACCAGCCATAGGGGAGCCGTTCTCAAGTCATCCCAGACCTCGTGGGACGGAGGGCTCCCGGTCACAGCGCTCCCCAGGGAGCGGGGCAGGGATGCCTGGCCCGGACGCAGAGCATCCAGCGTCTCCGGTAGCAGGCGGGAGCCAGGGATATTCTGCGGGCAGGAAAGACAATGGGGGGGGGCGCCTCACAGTTGCGCACCCCCTCCACCTCTCTAAAATGAACAGAATCGCAGCACCGGGGGCTGAAGAGGCAGCGAAAGGCCTCCCTGACCTTCCTGCAGGCACTAGGATGGCTCCTCCCGCAGCTGACGAGTCCTTGTCTCAAAGTTACCGAACCTTCCAGGACGCGCCGAGGAGCCGCGGGCCGCCGGGGGCTGGGGCCCGCCTGGGGGACTCCTCGAAAGCAGCTCGCCCCCGGAGCAGCCGGAGGCCGGGCGTGAGCGGCGCGAACCCAGCGGGTTCGGGTGCAGCCCCTCAAAGAGAAAGGGGCGGGATCGGGCCGGGAGGGGAGAAGGAACCCGCCCCGAGAGTGGAGTTGAGGTGTGCGCGCGGGCGCTGGGTGCGCCGGGTGGGAAGGCGCGAGGCAGTGGGGCGGAGCAGCTGTTGCAGGCGCCGGTCCCTGCGCTGCCCGCGGAGGAGCCCCGCACTCCTCAGACACCCCGCCTGCGAGGCCCGGGCTCTCCCGGAGGCCCTGGGGTCGCGCCG